AGAAAAGTTTTTGTTTACATAATATATGTATGTGTACTGTGTTTATTTATTATGTACAGTATCTTACAGAAGTGAGTACACCCCTCACATTTTTGTAAATATTTTATTATATCTTTTCATGTGACAACACTGAAGAAATGACACTTTGCTACAATGTAAAGTAGTGAGTGTACAGCTTGTATAACAGTGTAAATTTGCTGTCCCCTCAAAATAACTCAACACACAGCCATTAATGTCTAAACCGCTGGCCACAAAAGTGAGTACACCCCTAAGTGAAAATGTCCAAATTGGGCCCAAAGTGTCAATATTTTGTGTGGCCACCATTATTTTCCAGCACTGCCTTAACCCTCTTGGGCATGGAGTTCACCAGAGCTTCACAGGTTGCCACTGGAGTCCTCTTCCACTCCTCCATGACGACATCACGGAGCTGGTGGATGTTAGAGACCTTGCGCTCCTCCACCTTCCGTTTGAGGATGCCCATGCTTGGCCAATCCATCACCTTTACCCTCAGCTTCTTTAGCAAGGCAGTGGTCGTCTTGGAGGTGTGTTTGGGGTCGTTATCATGTTGGAATACTGCCCTGCGGCCCAGTCTCCGAAGGGAGGGGATCATGCTCTGCTTCAGTATGTCACAGTACATGTTGGCATTCATGGTTCCCTCAATGAACTGTAGCTCCCCAGTGCCGGCAGCACTCATGCAGCCCCAGACCATGACACTCCCACCACCATGCTTGACTGTAGGCAAGACACACTTGTCTTTGTACTCCTCACCTGGTTGCCGCCACACACGCTTGACACCATCTGAACCAAATAAGTTTATCTTGGTCTCATCAGACCACAGGACATGGTTCCAGTAATCCATGTCCTTAGTCTGCTTGTCTTCAGCAAACTGTTTGCGGGCTTTCTTGTGCATCATCTTTAGAAGAGGCTTCCTTCTGGGACGACAGCCATGCAGACCAATTTGATGCAGTGTGCGGCGTATGGTCTGAGCACTGACAGGCTGACCCCCCACCCCTTCAACCTCTGCAGCAATGCTGGCAGCACTCATACGTCTATTTCCCAAACACAACCTCTGGATATGACGCTGAGCACGTGCACTCAGCTTCTTTGGTCGACCATGGCGAGGCCTGTTCTGAGTGGAACCTGTCCTGTTAAACCGCTGTATGGTCTTGGCCACCGTGCTGCAGCTCAGTTTCAGGGTCTTGGCAATCTTCTTATAGCCTACGCCATCTTTATGTAGAGCAACAATTCTTTTTTTCAGATCCTCAGAGAGTTTTTTGCCATGAGGTGCCATGTTGAACTTCCAGTGACCAGTATGAGAGAGTGAGAGTGATAACACCCAATTTAACACACCTGCTCCCCATTCACACTTGAGACCTTGTAACACTAATGAGTCACATGACACCGGGGAGTGAAAATGGCTAATTGGGCCCAATTTGGACATTTTCACTTAGGGGTTTACTCACTTTTGTGGCCAGCGGTTTAGATATTAATGGCTGTGTGTTGAGTTATTTTGAGGGGACAGCAAATTTACACTGTTATACAAGCTGTACACTCACTACTTTCCATTGTAGCAAAGTGTCATTTCTTCAGTGTTGTCACATGAAAAGGTATAATAAAATATTTACAAAAATGTGAGGGGTGTACTCACTTCTGTGAGATACTGTATATATTTTCATTATATTGAGCTTTAACTACACTGCTCTCTCTCCTTTGAAAAAAAACATATTGGTTGATCACAAGTCTGTAGAGATGTGCTCACCACGTGTGTGCTTTTGGCAGGTTGTTGGTACTGGCGTCGATCTGATGGATGGTGAAGAGACGTGGTCCAGCAGCACCTGGATCATCAAGCATTTTACAACAAACATGTATGTATGATTATCAGTGTTGGGTAAGTTATTCAAAAAAAGTAATCCACTACAAATGACTAATTACTACCAAAGACTATAGAATACCCAAGACATGTCACTCGTATAGTTTTGAATGGGGAAAAATGCAACGCTCAATATGGCCGCTCAACCGCATGAAGCCCCGCCTTCTGAATGAAAGAGCCAATCGCTAATCTGCAAAGTCAGCGCGTCACTGCAGCTGCCGTTAGAAGTCCCGGTTGCAATAGAAATAGTCAGCGTTCTGAGATGAACGCTTAGGACTGCGCATGCACACTGGCTGATCTAACCTGGAAAATAAGCTTTTTATAACGCTATTTGAGCAAAAGTAACAACATTTATGACACAGTTGTTGTCAGATTTCTTTGGTGATTTCAAATATGAAACTTAATAGTAAGCTTAGTGAACAGTTTTGGAGAATTTGATGTTTCCCAATTCAAAGAGATAGGAGTTGCACTTGCATGCCCGAGAGGCGTTTCAAAGATGGCCGCAGGGTGACATGACTTGTCTTAAAGGGGTCATATGATGCGATTTCATTTTTTCCTTTCTCTTTGGAGTGTTACAAGCTCTTGGTGCATAAAGAAGATCTGTAAAGTTGCAAAGACTAAAGTCTCAAATCCAAAGAGATATTCTTTATAAAAGTTAAGAGTTTCAGACCGATGAGTTTTGTAAAAATCGATGCGTTTCAAAAAGGCGGGGCATAGAGGAGAAACAATAATGTACAGTATGTGGAAAATAATGTGTTTTTTTAACTTTAAACCGCATAAACACATTTAATTACACCAAATACACAAAATAATGTTCTTTTTAGCAGCATCATATGACCCCTTTAAAAGGACTTTGTTACTACTAATTAATTGCAATTTGATTACATTACAGATTACTGCATTTAAAAAATAATCAGATTACTAATTATTTTACTTTCAAGTTACCAAACCTAAAAAACACTACAAAATAAAACTCATAGTTCTTTCAGTAATTTAATATTGACTGAAAAATTTCTTAAGTATCGAAACAGCAACTTGAATGATCACTTGCATTTTTTCCTGATAAATGCATATATAATATATAATGTTCTGTCATCTTTGATCGTACAGATAAGAGTAATACATCATTTGAATCTGTGAAGGGTCTACTTCTATTTGTGTACACTCACAATATCAACAAAACATTGTGCTTTTGTAAAATAAAGAAAACAAACAAGGTACACTTTCTGTCGTCTCAGTCTTCACAAATTTCTTTCTGAAATGCATCACTAAAATGAACCAAAACTCAGCGAATACTTCACACACAGACATGAGAGATAAATCTACAGATTCAAGTGTCTATTTTTAAATGAAGTCAGTCATGTCTAAAACAAATATTTTCTGATAAAGTAATCCGCATGAAACCAACGCAACGTCCAGTTTTTCCCCATCTGAGCTCATTATCTGTAATGTGATCACGCCCACGAGCAGCGCACGCTATTCATACGGTAATCATCCACGTGAGACGCGCGAGCCTGTAAACGCCCACATAACCTCCGTAAACAAAGCCTGAAGATTCATCAAGTTAATCTCGGATACTTTTCGTTTCTGGAAGAGAACGCTGAGAGGAATAAGACAATTTACCTCAGAAGAAGAACGCAACACGTGGCTTGAGTAGCGGAGGAGATCATTTCTGACAAGCCATTTATTCTTACTTATATTAGTGTTATTGTGCCATAAACGTGTACGTATTTTACTAGTTGGACTTTTCCCAAACTAAAATATGTGAAATCAAGTGCAACATTTTGAAATATGATTTAATTTTATTTCATTGCATTGCATTTAAGAGTTGTACGACTTGTCTGCATTTTAGCTCGTATTCTCCGGTGATTTATTAAAGGGCATACTGACGCGCAAAACATGATTTTAAAATGCATTTACGTCATAGTTTTTTCTTAACACTGCATTTGTTACTTAAGTAACGTAATTTTACTGACATTAGTAACTGTAATCAATTTACATACATTTCAAATGTAACTCATTATATTACTGCGTTATCAGGAAAAGTAATTAGAATGCAGTAATGCATTATACCAAACTCTGATGATTATACGTATAGCTTCCTTTCCAGATCCTGAAAGAGAAACTCATGCTAAAGGACATCAGGTACCTTGCAGGGCTTTGAATCCTTGTAGTGGGACTCTGGAGGAGCCGGTGACAAACTGCAGCAGTCTGGCTCTCCTCTCCTCATCATACGACTCCACGGCCCGCCAGAACCACTTCACGATGTTACTGTCAGGTGTGCAGTGCTTCAGACGGGTGTTTGACTTCCAGTCATTGATGTCGATCTTCCCGAGTCCACACACAATAAGCTGAAAGTATGAGACACACCTGAATCCCTAACCATGCTCTGATACTGCTCATGGCTATGAGCGAAAATAGCAACTAAAAATATGCTCCATTACACATTTATCAAGACTGAAGTATGAGCTAAGAAGTCAAGTCGATTGCCTGGTTGAAGTGGATTTATTTTAGCAAATGGACGTATTTGTTTTCATACCTCCAACTCTTTCTCATCAAACGCCTTGAGTAGGTGTTGTGGGATGACCTCATGAAAGCCTTTCTGCAGGGCCAGGAACTGAGCCTCGATGCCCCTCAGGAACCGCCAGTTCACATACAGCCTGCGCAAAAGCAGGAACAAGACACTTAGGCTATGTTCAGGCTATGTTAAAAAAAAATCAGATTGTTTTGCATATCTAGATATTATCCAGATGGGGTTTTGAAAGCCTGGACAGTAAAAAAAAACAAAAAAACGTTAAAATTACATTTTTTTCTTCTTCCCCAAATCTGATTCAAACCACATTTGAAAGTTTTTTGAAACTTGATTCCAATCAGATTTTTACAGATCAGTAAAAAGTCTGGGCACTCTGGCTGCTCAAATCAGATTTTAAACAGTCTTTTGCATCACTCTTAACATGACACACAATGATAACATCAAAACCAGGGACAGAAATGCCGAAAGTATTCATACTGTATTCAAACGAAGCTGAAACCAGCCCTGACTACAAAACAATATATGCTAGTCTACTCCATTTTTTTGCTTATTTGGAGAGCGAGATGATGCACCTCCGCTTTTCCTGCATCGGTTCTGAAAGCCTCGTCACATACATGGGTACGTCTACATCATTAGCAAAGCAATGCATGCAGATAGGTTGGTCATGTCTGGACACACAAATCTGATTTGATCACTTGCAATTAATAGTGCGGACAGTCTGCCTGAAAAGATCTGATCTGAGAAAAATCAGGTTTGCCTGCAGTCTGAACAGCCCTAATGACATCTGCAGAGACACATTAGACAGGGAGGAGGAAGGTGTTCAGCGGTCAAAGCAGCTGAAGTCCTCACTCACCTCACATACTCCTTCTTGGTGTCCTGGGTGACAGGGATGCTCTTGCCGTTGGGTTTGAGCTCATGCTGAATGATCTCTCCGTATGCATTGTGTTCAACGCAGAACGTGTGGTCCAACACCCCAGTGATGTCATTCTCTCTAAACACAGACATAAAAGAAAAAATATATGATTAGATTAATTATGCATGCATTATATTAATATATATTCTATTTTATTATATAATTTTAATTAAGTTAATTCATTTTAATAATGATTGCATGATTCCATTAATTGCAGGACTAATTTGAGTGATCTAACGAAGGCAAAAGTTTTTTTTTTTTTTTTGTCAACTATTTATATATCGAAGGCAGCATAAACTCTCTGAATCTACTTTAATCCCACCTTGAAAGCAGAAAATGTGTTTTGCAATTCAGCATGAACACACTAAACACATAGTACCTAACTGCTGCTTCTGTCTCTTATTTTCTAGACAAGAATTGCGTTTATTTAGACGCAGAACGTCTTTATGACCACATCAAACAGGAGACTTTAAGACGCGCACTCCAACTTCACCTCAGTGCCAGGCGCTAGTCAAACAAGCACGGAAAAGGTACAAGTGACGAGGAGCTTCAGTGAACTGCGCAGTCCGATGAGATTTTGTCATATGTCAGTAAAAACCAATATAGCTGTTATACTGTGCTCGTAGCACATGCTCTTCAATTGCACACACAAATATGGCAGCACGCGCTGCATTATATTAAAGCGCTACATCATATTAATGCGCAAATGAAACTGCGAGCATGCAATGTCATAGTTATGTCATCAGTTAAGTCACAAAGTTACCAAAAAAGGCAATTAAAGTCTCCTCATCTAACATCTAACCCGATTCAACTCGTCAGCTCATTAGTAGAGACTTTAAGACCTGAAGTGGGTCAGAAAAGGTAAAGAGTTGTGAGAAAATATGATGCGTGTCAGATCCACGTCATGTTCAGCAGCCGCAGCTCTTAAAGCAGCCAAAATAACCTAATAACCAGCTGCTGTGATGTCTGTTAATCAAACAACAAAAGAAAAAAAAGAGCAAGTCAATAACTTTTGTATCTTTAAGGATTCATCTATATTTAATTTAGAATTTAGT